TATTAAAATAGAACACATACTTTCTTTATTTAATTGTATCATGAATAATTTTTTTCGACACTCTTTGTCTTAGCAATTCTAATGCTTAATGAAAAATTCTTAAACGTACTCTTACATATGAACGTTACTTATTGACTATAGCCTTGTTCTACTCTTTTCTGTCTCCTCCTTAATTCGTTATTTATTCTATCACCGCATCTTCGAAGCCATTCGGCAATTCGATTCCTTACAGCATCTATATGAATTTGATGATGTTCTTGAATAAGATCTGTAGATAATTCCACGAAATAGCTTTAAAAATCTGAAATTTTTGTGAAAAAAACCACCAATGAAATTGCTTAAAGACTTACCAACTATCAACCCAACCATGTTAGATGTACCAAAAGGGACAGTATCTTTCACACCTATCCAAGAAATGTTTTTACACAATTCATTTGACAGAATCGAAGACATAATATTTGATACTGATTTTTGTTCCGTTGGAACAAGCAACTTATTTAGCTTTACAATCTACAAAGTAAACCATAATTCATAGTTTTATAATATAATAATAATAATAATAATAATAATAATAATAATAATAATAAAAGTAATAATCAAAATAATAACAACAATACTAATTGTAACGTATTGATAGGTAATGGGATTAGGAGCAATAATTATTACACTTACACTTTGTTAATAATTAATAAGTATATTGTAATTAATAAGTAACTTCTTGATACATTTCACCGTTACGTATTATAAGACACATCTGTTCGCTCTGACGGCCGTTCTCTGTCTCCACCCCTTACATTACGCACAATCTTTCCCACTCTGCTGAGAGTGTTACACATACTTAATCGCACTACAATGTGTTTACCCATACGCGCATATTTCTTATACATCACAATTCCTCCCCCTTTTAAATCTAGGTCAACGCCGCAAGGGTAGTCGTTTAATTAATTGATCAACGTGACGTTTGCATGTCTGACCCGACGCGAGCTCGACTTCGCAGGTAGATTTTGACAATTTGTTTGAAACCTTACCTTCTATTCGCTTCGGACCCCCTTCGCTATAGCTTCTTATCAACACCTCTTCTCCTTCCGTAAACGTTTCGTTTCGCTGCCCTTTACGTCCATATATTTGCGCTTGCTGAGCTTTCAAGACTACTTCACCTATATTCGGTCTCAAGTTATCGAATCGCGTTCTTAATTCGCGTTTGTAAAATAGCAAAGCTGGGCTTTTACCGGTTGTGCAATGTGGCGTTGCCCGATAATCAAATAAAAATAGCTTAATTGCGTCATCGAGCGCTTCTCCCCCTTTTATAATTTTTTTAACTTTATCTTTAAAAATCCCCACGAAATTTTCAGCCGCTCCGTTTGTAGCCGGATGGTATGGTGGTGAAGAACTATGCTTAATACCTTGATTCTTCAAAAAATTTTCAAACTCAGCACTCGCAAATTGCCTACCATTGTCTGTTACTAAGTGAACCGACAATCCATACCTCGCAAATATTTGTTTACACACTTCGATAAGTTTGTGCGACTTTGTGTTTTTTGCAAAATCCACTACCTCCGGCCATTTTGAGTACGCATCTACTATTACTAAAAACATGTAACCGTAAAATGGTCCCAAAAAATCACAATGTACTCTACTCCACACTTTTCCCGGCCAAGGCTACGGAGTTAGTGGCGATTTCGCTGGTTCTTTTCTTTCTTCTAGACAAATTTTACATTCTTTCACTAATAATTCTATATCTCGATCTATTGCTGGCCACCAAACATAAGAACTTGCCAAGATTTTAATTTTTACCACTCCCAAATGAGATGCATGTAGGGCATCTAAAATTTTATTTCTTAGATTTTTTGGAATCACAATACTGTTACCTCATAAAATGTAGTTACTTTGTAATGTTAATTCGGATTTTTTTTCAAAAAAATTTTTTTCATCTACAGGTAAATTTTTGCTCAAATCAGGCCAGCCTAGTAGACAATATTTTAATATGTTCTTAAGCGTCTCATCTTTTTTCGTTTTTTTCTCTACTTCTTTGTAATCCAGAACTTTTAATTCTTTTTTTATAAAATATAGTGGTGTAAAATCAGTTTCAAAAATATCTAGATCGTCGTCTACTGGCAGTCTCGATAAGGCATCACAATTTCCGTTATCTTTGGATTTGAAGTACTCTATTTTATATTTGAACCCGGACAGATAATAAGCCCATCTCTGCAATCTGCTTGTAATTGTTAAAGGAATACCTCTGTTTGGGCTTAAAATATACTCCAATGGTTTATGGTCTGTGCGCAATATTATCTCCTTACCATAAACGAATTCATAAAATTTTTTAAATCCAAATACAATGGCACTAGCTTCTTTGTCTATTATCGCTCTATTAATTTCTTTTTTTGGTATTTTTTTTTATGCATAAGCTATGGGTTTCTCGCTACCATCTTTATACCTATGCGATAATATTGCCGACAGACCATATTCCGAAGCATCACAAGCAAGTACAACCGTTTCTTGTGGATCATAATGCGTTAAAACTTGGGGAGAAATAAGCTCTGCTTTTACCCATTTAAATGCTTTTTCACATTCTTCTGTCCATTTAAATTTACTATTATTCGCGCACTCATACAGTGGTCTTAAATTTTCAGATCTGTTCTTGAAAAATCGGTTATAAAAATTAATCAAACCCAGGAACGACTCTAACTGTTTGATATTTTCCGGCCTGGAGGCTTCTATCATTGCCTGTACCTTAGTTTTAGCTTTATGCAACCCGTCCTTATCTATGACGAATCCTAATGTTTCTATCCGCTCTTTCATTATATCGCATTTATTTCTGTTTAGCTTCAACCCATGCTCTTCTAAACGTTTACAAACTAATTTTAAGTTTCTTATGTGTTCTTGATTAGTTTTACCCGTTATAAAAATATTATCCATATAAGNCTCGCAAATTGCCTACCATTGTCTGTTACTAAGTGAACCGACAATCCATACCTCGCAAATATTTGTTTACACACTTCGATAAGTTTGTGCGACTTTGTGTTTTTTGCAAAATCCACTACCTCCGGCCATTTTGAGTACGCATCTACTATTACTAAAAACATGTAACCGTAAAATGGTCCCAAAAAATCACAATGTACTCTACTCCACACTTTTCCCGGCCAAGGCTACGGAGTTAGTGGCGATTTCGCTGGTTCTTTTCTTTCTTCTAGACAAATTTTACATTCTTTCACTAATAATTCTATATCTCGATCTATTGCTGGCCACCAAACATAAGAACTTGCCAAGATTTTAATTTTTACCACTCCCAAATGAGATGCATGTAGGGCATCTAAAATTTTATTTCTTAGATTTTTTGGAATCACAATACTGTTACCTCATAAAATGTAGTTACTTTGTAATGTTAATTCGGATTTTTTTTCAAAAAAATTTTTTTCATCTACAGGTAAATTTTTGCTCAAATCAGGCCAGCCTAGTAGACAATATTTTAATATGTTCTTAAGCGTCTCATCTTTTTTCGTTTTTTTCTCTACTTCTTTGTAATCCAGAACTTTTAATTCTTTTTTTATAAAATATAGTGGTGTAAAATCAGTTTCAAAAATATCTAGATCGTCGTCTACTGGCAGTCTCGATAAGGCATCACAATTTCCGTTATCTTTGGATTTGAAGTACTCTATTTTATATTTGAACCCGGACAGATAATAAGCCCATCTCTGCAATCTGCTTGTAATTGTTAAAGGAATACCTCTGTTTGGGCTTAAAATATACTCCAATGGTTTATGGTCTGTGCGCAATATTATCTCCTTACCATAAACGAATTCATAAAATTTTTTAAATCCAAATACAATGGCACTAGCTTCTTTGTCTATTATCGCTCTATTAATTTCTTTTTTTGGTATTTTTTTTTATGCATAAGCTATGGGTTTCTCGCTACCATCTTTATACCTATGCGATAATATTGCCGACAGACCATATTCCGAAGCATCACAAGCAAGTACAACCGTTTCTTGTGGATCATAATGCGTTAAAACTTGGGGAGAAATAAGCTCTGCTTTTACCCATTTAAATGCTTTTTCACATTCTTCTGTCCATTTAAATTTACTATTATTCGCGCACTCATACAGTGGTCTTAAATTTTCAGATCTGTTCTTGAAAAATCGGTTATAAAAATTAATCAAACCCAGGAACGACTCTAACTGTTTGATATTTTCCGGCCTGGAGGCTTCTATCATTGCCTGTACCTTAGTTTTAGCTTTATGCAACCCGTCCTTATCTATGACGAATCCTAATGTTTCTATCCGCTCTTTCATTATATCGCATTTATTTCTGTTTAGCTTCAACCCATGCTCTTCTAAACGTTTACAAACTAATTTTAAGTTTCTTATGTGTTCTTGATTAGTTTTACCCGTTATAAAAATATTATCCATATAAGCTACAGCTCCTTCAGTACCTTGTAAACACGCGTCTATTATTCTTTGAAATTCTCCTGGGGCTGACGAAATTCCTTCTGGAAGTTTCGTGTACCTAAACAGTCCTAAATGCGTTATAATTGTTAACAAGTGTCTCGATTCTTTTTCCACTGGTATTTGCATGTATGCGTGCGTTAAATCTAATTGAGAAAATTTTTTTTCGCCTTGCAAAACTCTAAAAATATCATCTATGTGCGGTAATGGATGCTTGTTCACGATTATATACGGATTTATAGTAAACTTAAAATCTCCACAAATTCGTATATTGTCGTTACTTTTTATTATTGGTACAATTGGAGTCGCCCATTCGCTCGAATCTACCTTTTCTAAGTGACCTAGTTCAACTAAATTATTAAGTTGTTTTTCAACTTTTTCTCTTAACGCATACGGTACATACCTTGCTTTAAAAGCTATCGGTTTTACTTCCTCTTTCATGTATATTTTCATCTCTCCTTTTGTATAAAATCCCGGTCCCGAACTAAATAACTTCGAAAATTCCAACAGTATGTCATCGCTTATCTCTACTTTCAATTTCTTAATTACGCTTTGACTCTCCCCATTTTTATTTGCAAACTTAAGTGGCCACAGCCCGAACTGTGATAACCATTGTCGGCCTACTAGTGGCGGACCTTTTCCCGGTAACACTACACAAGTTAATTTTCTAGTAATTCCGTTTAGCTGCCCTTCTAAATTTTCCATTGTACCTACTGGGTGTAACGTACTATTTTCATCGTAACCGCGCAGAATAATATTCGATTTACTCAACTTAAAATTTTGAAATAACTCATTCTTTGTTTTCTCCAAAATCACTGAAACATAAATACCCGTATCAACTTCCAAAACTACATCTTTATTTTCAATCTTAAATTTTAACAACATCGGCTCCGCTTCCCTAGCACTACCACCCAACCGCTTACAATTTAAAACTCTATTATCGCTGCTATATACCTTTAGGGGTAAGAAGTTATATGTTACGTCGTCATCCTCTCCCTCTGACTGCCTTGACGTTGCTTCCTCTCCCATGACCTTCACCGATGAATTCTCGTTCGCCGCTTTTCTCCGACACGCTACTTCCAAATGTCCCTTCCTCTTACAATAGTTGCAAGATTTTGTCCTATGTTTACAGTCAATAGCCTTGTGATTTGCTCGACCGCAACAATAACACGATATACCTTTCTCACTCTTCATGTTTTTTCTATCAGTACTACCTTTACTTCTACTTGTATTATCTCTTTCGTAGCTTCTTTTCTGTTTAGTGTTCAAAGCCAAAATTTTGTCATTTGAACTGCCGTAGAATTTTCTCGATGCTTCTAACGCGTTTATCTTTGCCATTTCCCGTGACATTGATTCTGACAAGGCTTTATCAAATGTCAGGTTTTCTGCTTTGAATAATTCTACTTTTATATCCTGATCTCTGATACCACATACCAGTTGATTTCTAAGAGCTGTTATTAACTCTTTAAAGTTGCAGTTCAAGGCCAGTCTTTTTAATCTCGCTGCGTATTCAGCTACACTTTCTCCTTGTTCTTGTTTAGCCTGATTGAACTTCCAACGTTCCATAACTTCAGAAAGCTTTGGATTTAAATAATCTGATAGCAATTTTTTTAACTCTTCATAAGTTTTCGTACTCGGTTTTTCCGGTGCGCATAAATTCCTTACTAGCATAAACGCTTCCTCGTCTAAACTCGTCAACAATAAGAGGCCCTTTTTTTCATCCTTAGTATCTTTCGCTGCAAAATTAACTTCTAGCCTCTCTGTAAAAATTTCCCAATCGTCGGTTTTTAAACAAAACTCTAATTTCGTCTTGTCAGCCATTTCCTCTTCTTCTTCACTACCGCTTGATGCTTCTTTCGTTACCCCTGTCTGCTTGTCCTCTGCTTCTGCGTTCTTATTGTTTTCTATTTCTTCTTCTACACTTAATTCTTCTTTCACCAACTCTGCTAATATTTTACGTAGTGTCTCAAACTTTTCACTGCCTATTAATTCTAGTTCACGATTTTCTAGTTCTACTGTTAGTTCCTCTTTATTTAACTTATACACCCAACTTAAACCTTTTTTTTCTTTTTGAATATCCATAGGATCCCTACATTTGTTACTATCAGTATGTGAATCCGACATGAGCCTTCTTTTTCACTCACTGTTTTATTAACTTTTTCCAGTTCCTCTTTATTCCGCCATCCTCTTCGCCAATTGTAATGTATTGATAGGTAATGGGATTAGGAGCAATAATTATTACACTTACACTTTGTTAATAATTAATAAGTATATTGTAAATAATAAGTAACTTCTTGATACATTTCACCGTTACGTATTATANTAACGATTTATAAGCTCACTTACTTTTACTTTTAAATCTGCATCTGTCTACGGCTTTTCTTTGGGTAGATATTTATGGGTATATTGTTTATCCATATTACCCTCGCACCAAGCTCCACAGAGAGTGTGATCACCATAAGCATGGGGAATTATTGCTTTCAAAGCCTGTGCAATTTTTTTGGCATCCCCCTTATTTTGTTTTTACAGAGGCCTTAGATGTGTCAACTAGTAATAGTGATATCGACTCGTGTAATGAATCATCAGCCAGCGCAGAGACAATTCACAGCATAACAAATCTGATACAGAATTTGTAGACGATACTAACACAGCTTTGATCGACACAGGATTAAATATTAATGACTTTTCAAGCAATGAACCAGACATAGAATTTGCAGAAATTGGAATTATTAATGGAAATCCCAGAAATTTATTTGTAGTTCAAGAAACGATTATGAAAAGTAGGGAAAATTTTATTAGTATGAATTTACAATGTTACTTAATTATTGTACTTACTAGAGAAAAAAAATTAAACTTATAAAATTTTTTTGGCTCTAGCTATAGATGAATTTATTGAGAACTTAAAACCCGGAAAGAACACAGGAAAACACTGTGGAAAATACAGATTTTCATACTCAAGAAACTCGTAATTTAATTGATGGATTCACTGACATTCAATCTGATGTATCACAACATATTCGAAAAAGGTCTGTGCAAGGTGCCGATGAAAATGAAGCTACTTTAGCCGTAAAAAATTTCAGCCTCCCTAATGATCATAAAGGTATTTCTGAATTAATAGTTTTGCCTTCTTTGTTGCCCAATTCTATTATTCATTTGTAAATATTTTTTAGTAGACATTCTAGATTTATCATTGTTAACCAAGAGTAGTAATGCATATCGATCTAACGAGTTAAGCAATGTTCTTCGTAGTCCTAATATGATTGATCAAATCAACAGTGCAGTCGACAACACAGAAGCGTTTTAATTAAAGTGCGCTCCTTCTATAGATACAATTCAATACTTTAAAGTCCCTCAATTTAAGGAAAAAAAGTCCAAAAAGAGATATTCGCTGACTGCACTCCCTTCAGTCGTTGACTTTTTCATCGTTCAACTTTAAAAAAAAAGATATTAAGAAATTAAAAGAAAAACAAGCGTTAGACAGAAGAGTACAAAGGGAACAAAATAAAATTCTGCGCGAAAAACAAGAGAATATTAATAAAGGATTCCATGTTAAGTCCAAACAACTATTGAATGAAAAAAAGACTTATCTGTCAAAATTAAAAAGCTTAAGGTCGTTCTTCACCTAACCCATTTACTTAAACTTACAGGGAAACTTGTAGGGATTGTTATTAAAGTTACAAGGCATCTTCTCTTAAAATTTCAAGTCCCTTTATCAGGCAAATTTTTGAAAACAAGTCAGTCAAAAAATGCACTTTTAACATGTATTCTTATGTAGGTTACTTTTCCATACTACGATATCATGTAATATCTCGTAAAGTAGACTTAAGATCGTAATAGAAAAAGTTTGTAGTGAAAGAAGAACTTTTCAGCTTTCTAATAATATAACAAAAGT